TTTGTAACCAAATAATACACTGCAATATGTCCTTTTAATGAGATGTTCAGAATTAGTATATCTCTCTGCTATTATAAACTCTGCAATATTGCTTTATTACGTGCTAAAGTAATTATAGGTATGAAGATACTCAATATTGTCATCTCATATGCCATTCTTTTGGTTATGTCCCATTTTAGACTCTTCTTTTTTTCTCCCCCCCCCCTTCAAATCTTGCCATTTTGGACTTTCTTGATAGGATAGATAAAAGAACAGTTTCTATTTCAGCCTTTTCATTTGGGGCCAACATGTAATTCAAAGGCGAGATAGAAGGTCACATGAAATATGTGTAATGATGTCACAATGACGCTTCACCTTTAAACTTATTTTAGACACTCTTAAATAAATCACTAAAGACATTGGTGATTACACTTAATTTAGAAAACAAGATTTTTCAAAATTTAATTACAATTCAGTATTATTATTATCCTGAAATAGGATCATGTAGATTTCTAAAAAGTAAACGAGGCTAAAATATTTTGAAAATTGGACACTTAAAAACATTTAAAAATTTGGCTAGCATTAATTCTCTATTAAATAATGCTGCTATCACAGTTTTTAATAAAATAGATTCATCATTTTACAAAAGTAACATTCATCGCAGCGGAGAGTATTAAGCCATATTTAAGAAAACGGATTTTTTACACCTATCTGCCGAAGATTTAATTATATGGTATTAAAACAAATAATATATCTTCTTTTTTGGATGAAATAATTGTTCTTTATGCATTTTAAGAAAGCTTCCTTTTCTCAGTTTATCTTGTTTCGCTCCCATTTTGCTTCATAACAGTTTAAAATACGTGAATTTTACTTCTTCAATGTTCTCCTGCTCCAGTGTCTTTTCTACCAGGTGTAAAGAAATGTTTGAAATGGTACGATGCTGTCATCCTGAGGGCCTGCAGAAAAGCAAAGCCTGAAATGGCACGATTTTTGTTGCCACCTCCAAGAAGCCTGAATTGGCAAAATTCTTTAGGTTACATCCTTGTTCATTTATTTATACTATGGTTTCAGTTCCTGTCTTTTTCAAAAGAATGAAAATAATATTTTGTAATTAAGGAATGTGATATTGGTAATATTTTTAAATAAACAAATAACTTTTATTAATTTAGTATTCAGTATGCCCAATAAAATACTTTATTTTTAGAAAATGAAAAATATTTTTACATATGTACAACAGGTAAATGTTCCGATTTAAGAATAAAAAATAATGTCTAACATTATGACCTCCATGGCTTGTTCTACACCACCATATTCTTTCGATAAAATTCATAACTCCCATCGAAGTGACTAATAACACATTCAGTTTCCTCTTTAAGTTCGGATTCTGTGTGACTTGCAATAAAACAACGTTATGCATGAATAACGATCTTTTCAGCAAACCGGCTAGTTCGAGAGCATCGGAGGTTTAATGCCTAACTGATATATTTATTTATAAAATTTAGCATAACTTATGTTTCAAAATAAAATTTTCTAAAAACAAAAATTCTTTCCGATTTTATGCAGCAGCAGTTATTTATTGATAAATGTAGGATAGACTGTAATTGATATTTCCTTACTGTTTATATAGATGGTGGTAATGTTCTAATCAGTGCAAGAAAATACTCAAGTCTTCCCCCTTTTTTTTAACATTTCACTGAAAGTTTTGAACATGTATAGCTATTGAAAGATGTGTGGTTTTAGAAACATTTTAAAAATGTTTATATTTTGTAAATTTGTATAGCAAAATAATTATGTGAGTTAAATACCCAATAATTGGCACTTTTGAGTCTTTAAAAAAATGACATTGAATAATACAGCTTCAGTGTTGAACAATTATATGGCATCTTTTAATGTATATAAAAGAAAACTGTTTTCATTTCCATATATTTTTGTATATTTATTTGTGATTTAAAAAAAATGGTTCTGGAATACTTACCAGGTTAAAGCATTCTTTTCTAATAACAATATAGAATAATAATGAAATAAATAAATTTTCTTTAAAAATATAAAAAAATATTCTTTATACTGCTGAATTTTCTACATTAAATAATAATAATGAAATAATAAATTACTTAAAAATATAATAAATAGAATATTTTTTATACTCTTGCAATTTCTATATTCTACAGTAATAATAATGCAATATATAATATAATGAAATAAATAAATTTACTTAAAAACATAATAAAGGAAAGAAACATTAATGCTGTTGCAATTTCATATTGCTTGAAGTATTGTGTATTAATATGTTTGCAGTTTCGCTTTTTTTTATTATTATTTAAAAAAATAATTGTATATAATGTATAATCTATTTAGACTTCATCTTTGACTAGCGGAAATTATATTTCCTAATATTATTACTAGCATCCATCCAACACTATAGAAAGCAATTTTCAGCTATTTTAAAAGTATGAGAAATTTTATTTTAAAAATTTATGCATTTATGAGAAGGATTTTGTAATATTAGGAGTTTTGTGTGTTCATATGTATATTTATCTAATAGAATTGTTATGTTCAATTTATAAATTTACTTAAAAGAACAATTTACTGTTTTGAAATGATCCTTTTCTAGCTACATATTTTTGGCTTAAAAGCATATAATACTGTAATACTGGTATATCATATGACTCATATGCGCATTTTTGTTATGTTAATATTTTCAACTTTTTAACTGCAGATAATTAGCATTTTATAATATTCCTGAAGTTTTATACCTTAATCACGTTAATTTTTTGCTTACAAAATTTACACAATTTCAGTATATTACTGACAGAAAAATACTGTAGACATTATTACAACTTTCAGTATGAAATTAATAGCATTTTATTGTGATTCATTTTGATGATGGTGTGAATTATTATTTCTTTTTTGTGTTCATATGTAGATTTTATACAACAGGCAAAAATAAAGTTCCCTTCCCTTCTGATGAGAGTGAAATAATTTTTGAATGTTGTTTAACATACTAAATATTTTTGTAATTAAAATGTATTTTCCTATTTTAAAATGATCCAAATATCCAATCACTTTTTTAACTCTGCTTTTTGCCATACATGTGTACTTTTATGTGTGATAATGATTAAATCATATTATTTTTTTTTTCTCAAAATTTTATTGTACATAGTCATTTGAGTTTTATTACTTAATTAGTTAATTAGTTCAGTAGTATCCTTTAAAGTGCCAAAAAATTAGGTACTATTGGCATTATGCATTGTATCTATAATCATAAAGCACGTTTTGTATTCGTATAGTAAATAGCTGAAATAAAAGTTTTATATGTGCTTTATTTAATCTTTCATGCTTATTTTTCAGTTTATGAAAATTATTTTAAAGTTTATTAGTAATCAGCGCAATTAAAGCTGTATTATATTTATAGTAGACCATGTAAAGGCATCCTCTGCTGGTAATGAGTAGTGAACTCAAAGTTTACTCAAAGAGCAATTTATGAATAGTAATAGAAAACAATATATTGCAAGCATCAGAATCGAAACATTCAAAATACTCAAAGCTCTTTTTTTTATTACAAAAAGCTCAATTTGCAAGAAAAGGATTTATGTTATGTTGGTATGCTTTAAAAAAATTATATACTGATAAAAGACATAATGCTTACATTGTCATAATATAAGAAAATTAATATTTAATGGAGAATTTAAATGTACGATAAAAAATTATATACTGATGTAAGGCATGTATGATGTGGGGTTTCTTAAATTGTCATAATATAAGAAAATTAATATTTAATGGAGAATTTCAGTGTATGATATACTTTGGTCAAGAGCCTTTGACAGTACATTCTAATTAATGATAAAAATATAAAGTATATATGTTTAGCCTTAAAGAAGTATTCATGTTTATTTGAAAAAGGAAAATAAAATTTACAGTTTTAGCTTAAAAAAATGGCATTTTAAGATTTTCAAAATATTGAACTTATCCTGCATGTTTACTGGGGGGATGAAAAAGCAGAGCTTGTTAAAGTAAATGTTTCCATTAATGAGGAAAGTTTAACTCAGAAATTATATTCACATTAAACTGCAAAACTGCCTTCCTCATTCAAAGGTAATTTTAATCATAAGCTGTCGGCTCCTAAACTGTGTGCCATGATGTCTTGAGGTGCAGTGGGTGGATTAGAGAGACACAGTAAGATATTTCAATACTTACTCATAGAAATGATATTAATCCTACTCCACATGGCTTTAGAATCAGACTACTGATGTAGTAACACTAATTGCAAAACTATCTAACAGACATTGCACATATCACTGTTTTTGAAAAGCATATATTAATTTACAAACTAATTTTAAAATTGCTTTCAAAGAGATAATGTCAGTAATTATGCATGGATTCAAGATCTTTTAAGAGCTAAAGCTCCATCTGAATTTACTTCTGTAAAAGGAAATCATGTTGAACTGTGTTGTGACAATATGCTAAAGCCAATTGATTTTTAGATTGAAAGATGCATAGTTTATGTGTGATACGATGTTTGTTAAAGCTCGTTGTTTAGCAGCAGCTGTGATAATCAAATGTATCCTAAAAAGAAAATCGACATGGAACAATAAGTGAGGTAGCTGTAGCTAATTTTTTTCCCCAGGCTTTCAAAACATGTGCAAAGGAAAATGTTTTACCATTTTCACTCATTATGATTCATTTATTAAATATTCAAACTATTTACTTGTTTAGTACATTTCTGATTTTGAAATATGTGTTTGCTTTATTTTTTCGCTTCATTAACTGCATACTAAACTGTTAGTTACGACTGCGTTCTGACTATTGAAAAATTCTGATACAAGAATGTCACAAACTGAAAATGTTTGGGAACTACTGTCGTGGAGTATAATTGCAGACAGCAAAATTCCAAAACCATGCTTACTTTTAAAAGAGGAAAGATAAAATATACCTTTAGGCTCAATTATGCGTGTTTAATTCATGATCAGACGATTTTTTCTAGTCTTTTATGTATTCGAGAAAGGTAGAAACTGATAACTTTGTACACATATAAATGCAGTTTATTAGCTTTATCTCTCACCTGTGATAATAGCTTGTAAAGGGATAGTGCAATTAAATATGTTTACAAATGCTATATCACAAAGTGAAGACTGGCATTTACAAACAACTATTTATACACAAGCTCAAGGAACATTTTATAAATATATTTTGTTGTAACAGATAAAATTTAAATAAATGCTTCTTGCTTATCAGAAAGACTTTTCAAGACCTAATAATGTCTTTTATTATTTAATTAATCATTTAATGATAAAATCGATAACAGAAGTAAAATTACATACTTATGTTTAATTTATGTGATCATGATAATTACTTTAGGTATGATAAAGTCGTGAAAGTTTAAGTAATTTTTAAAATATTAAAAAAATATTATGGCTTACTTCGCTTTAGGACAAGTAATTTATGTTTAGAAAAACATTATATAACGTACAGTCTATCCAAAATTGAAACATCATAAAATTTTAAAAATAATAATAAAAATAACGGATCTATTTCCCTCAATATCAGAAATTATCATTAAAAACGTACAAAAGTTGTTTCCATCATTATCAAAAAAATTCAACACAAAAATCGTGAATAAACAAATATCTAATTGCAAATAAACAAATACACTGACATTAAATTGAGAGATCAGTAGAATCATTTTTTCTCCAAAAATTGATATTCCAGACCAGCTGGAAAAATAAAAAGTTCATATGAAGCACTTGGTTCATAGCCAAGATTTCCCATTAACAGTTTTTTTTTTCCCTTTTCTTTTGAAGCAGTCTTTATTCTACTACTGAAGTTCAGAAAAATGAAATCTTTGTGTGAAATGTCGACAATTCAATCATGTCTAACATTATCAAATCTTGCCAAAGCTCGAACAAACATGCATATTTGAAAATATTTATCCCTCTGTTAATACAGAAAAGAATTGATTGCAGCAAGAAATCTTATCCCATTCTTTTGATCTTTCATGTCTAATGGTTTTATAAAGCGCTGACATGACAACTATAAATTTCAGATAGACTGAACTTCCTTAAGCAGTATCACATTTTGGCAACTGTTTAATTTATGAATTTTTTATTCACATGTAGAACAGTGAAGAATTTGAATGTGTGCCACTCTGACTAATTGATTCAAATAAGGAACTTATAAAAGGTTCAGCTGTGCTATCCTGCGTGATACATTCATATTTATCAGAGAAAAGAAGCAGTTTTTCTGTGGATCTGAAAAATGGAATATTTTTAATCATTTCCCTCAGAAGCTTGGTGAATTTGAATATTTAGAGCCTTACCGCAAGTACGCAAAATAATTTATGCTATCGAAACTCAGCATTAGAAGCAGTTGTGCTATTCTGTGACGAATATCTTTTTAATGTTATAAGGCAGAAAGCAGATGTTTATTTCCGAATAGAAGCAGAAGTAATTCTTTTTCTTGAACAAGCAGGAGCAGAATCTCAGCTGAGGTGTTCCGAAGCTGTTAAAAAACTGCATTGTTTTTCCTGCGGTATTCCATGTGTGCAGTGCAGGAATACTTTTGTATATAACATTGAGACCAGAAGAAGTGATCCACTTGGAAGGAGGGGCAGCATTGAGAAAGAAAATGTATGGGAAACACATGTCATCTACCACTTCACAGAAGCAGTTTCTGATAATGCTTTTACGATGGACACTCATCTAATGGTATACATTTCTTCCTGTGCCACACGGTACCAGGTGGACAGTAACATCCTGGTCTGCATTGCCTCCGGCATGACTTATCTCGCTTAGGCTTCTTGCATGTCCGACGACAAGCTGGTGCACAGTTCATGTATTGCTGACCATTGCCACACCTAATTCCTGAAAACAAATAATAAATTCTATTATTCTGTTAGGTTAGTGATATTTACATAACATTAAGCTCACTTAATTAGATTATAACAAGTGTAAAATAGTCTTAACTTCACTGTTTACCCCGAGAGAGATTCGTCGATTTGAAAACTGTCGTTAGGTATTATCAATGTCATACATTCTCTGGGGTTAAATGTGGCCTGGATCTTTACCCCTCCCGAGAGACACTTGTCACTTCGTGTTTTATCAAGATCGCATAAAGGCAAGTTCACTTACAAAGACAAGAAACAGGAATCCATTTCCGCTGCCTTTCAGATAGTTATTGCAATGAAACTACTCACTCGTTACTTATATATATATATATATCCCACCTCCCTTACCCGACCTCTATTCTACTATATATATATATATATATACTATATAAGAAAAAAAAATGCGTAAATCAGCTTTTTAATTTAATTTAGCAATAGCCTCTTAATTTCTCATTTTTAATTTGGGTATTTCTTCTCTGTTTTCTCAACGTAGTAATAACTTCTCTGAACTAAGCAGTTTCTAGATTAATGTATGTAATGTGGCTTGCGTAACGCTGATGACGTAGCTAATTCGGAACTTGAACTCAAAATTTTGAGAACGGAAACCTTTCTAAACTAAACTGAAACCTTCTCTTGGTGAGCTTCCATATTGTATTATCGCGCATTTTAGCTTCTGCCTCTCTTCTTATCGCAACTGTATCAAAAATATAAATGTTCTTGAATAGGCATGATTAAAGTAGCAAGTAAATTGTGGTCACAAGTGTTAATTGAATAAAAATTAATATAATCTTGCTCGGCTGCCAAGTTTTCTATTCATTACGGATACAACATTTTAACATTCTATGCTATCAGATTTTTTTTCCCCCAATATGGATCTACATTCTAAGCTATCTACGTGCTAAGCCATGAAAATTGCTGCGTCTTTTTCTCTTTTTCATCGTATATATATGTCATGTTTTAAAGCGTAGGAGAAGGAATCCGGTACTTATGTAAAATATAAAAATCAACCTTTCAAGTTATAAATTAATAGCTCTTTAACTCCTGTCTTCATTCTAAAAATAACAGAGCAATAAATTCTTTAACTAAACGAAAAAAGATCCGTCATGTAAGATGTATTGCGCAGTTTCCCATCAAATTTGAACCCTACATCTGGACATTAAACTGTCATGTGATCTGAAATGCAATCCGATGGTATAAAAGCAATGGACTTCAAAGTTTTTCCCACCTCATCTTATAACTCATCAGGAGAATACTATTTACGGACTTTCTCAGGCGTCAGGCCCGATTCGGGATTCACTCAGGAATCTGGAAAGAGCAGGGATAGGAATTCCCCGCTGCATGCCAGAATAAAAGGCCCGTTTCCACTGCTGCGTATGCGTTGCGGTGTCTATGCGTTTTCCAATCAGCGAGCGAATTCACTTTGACATCTGCAATCCGGTCGACGTGCGGTGACGGATGACATACGGATGGAGTTCAACAATGTTTAACTTCTATCCGTATGTCTGCGGATGCGTTGTGGTCACGTGGTAAAAAAGGAGCAATCAGGTGTTGTCACCAACAATTAATGGCAGCAGAAGTAGCGATGAACGCTGGCTTAGGGAAAGAATGTTTTGCTAAAAAATACATTATAGCTGAATTAACATTATAAGGAGAAATTTGCATACTGAAAAAGTCAGCAATCAGCTGAATTCAGTTAAAAAAAGATTTAAAAAAAAAGATAACTGCAACTACAGTACTTGTTCGCAAATAAAACCAGGCGGCCAAGAAATTCAGTTCAAGAAAATCAGCGGCCAAAAATTATAATTCCAAGTCCATAAAATAGCAAAATTTGTCCTGACAAAATTCCCTCGTTCTGCATAGTCATTTACTTTAAATGAAAATGAATGTCTGACTATATCAAACTGCTATAGCAAATTAGATATGATTAAAAGATTTGTTATTTTTTTTCTTTTGAAACAGTAAAAACTAAAAACGTAATTAAATCAAATTTGATAGCCTTTTAAATATTCCACTGCATTAAGGAGTATGTTAAATTTGTATTTCCCTTTATAAATATATCTTTTTGGCTAACATATATTTGTAAGCACATGAAATATATTTTTAGCAGCCCGTTTAACTTCAATCGGAACGATAATCCACTTTAAAAGATAATGTTTTTTGTAAAAAATTTACTAGAAGCTGAAGAACAAACTCTGGGGAATTTTTCAGACGATGCCACACTGAAATAGAACCAAAAAATTTAGTTTTAAGAATTGATTTACTTGATGTATATAAGCCAAAATATGCATAAGATTCCCGAGTGATACTAGCTTAATGGTAAAGCTGATGGTAAATGTTTACTTTTGGGGGTCGTGAGTCGATCCCCATACGCTTTTTTTGCACCCGTCTGCAACTTTCTCAGCTTTTGTTCCAATTGATCATTGGATGGAGGGAAAGTCTGTCGTATTTTAAAGAAAATATTTGAAATCATTTAAAAAATATGTTTAATATTATCATTATATATGCTCCGTTATTTGTTACAACCTGTTGCCATCTTTCAGGTAACATGTAAATTCCTGTTTAGTAGAAGTTGTCGGCCTTGGAGTTAAAATAGTCAGCAACTGTCTTAGAAAAACTTTTAAAAGACTTGAAGTTTTTTCCTGTTAGATAATCTTGCAGACATCTGAACAGGTAATAATCAGCTGGTGCACAATATCAGGTGAATATGGTGGGTGACTAAGGACTTCCCATAACGCATTCAGTTTTGTAGTGTAACGCAGTATGCGGGTGACCATTATAGTGAGAACACTTTTCCTTTTTGACGCTAATGCTGGCCTTTTTTCTTTGATAGCTGCATTCATTTATCCAGCTGATTGCAGTACAGATCTGCGTTAATGGTTTTTCCTGTTTCAGCAACTCGTAGTACACAGGACCTTTCCTGTCCCACCACAAACAAAGCGTACTTTCGTTGATGGATATTTGGTTTTGGAACTGTTGCTGATGATTTCCTGTTTGCAGTAGATTTTTTTCTTTTAATATTCTCGTAAGAATCCACTTTTCATCTCCATACCAGCCTGTCCAAAAACGGCTCCACATTGTGTCTAATCAGATGTGTGAATATTCTTACACGATCAGACAAATTCTTTTCCGTTAATTCATGTGGACCCAAACACTTTGCTTTAAACACAAACCCAAGAGATTTATGTGATCTCCAACAGTTGTATGATGAATGCCAACTCTCTCAATTTCTCGACTTGTTAAATGTGGATTATTTTCCAACATGGATCGCAAAAATCATTATCGATCTTGGATGTGTCAGATCGAACACTTTCTTGAGGCTCAGGTCCCCAGAACGAAATTTGCTAAACCATCTTGACAAGTCGAACATTTACAATATCTTTTCAAATACCGCACATAATTTTTACATGCAACGGATGCGTTGCTTCCTTTTTGGAATTCATATAAAATGCAGTGTCGTAAATGCACTTTATCTACGGACATGTTTTTCCCTTTAAATATTACAAGTAAATGATGAACTGTAAAAAAGGGCACCTTTTATATTATACAGCAGCTAAAAAAACAAAAAAAAATCCGATTGACTCACTAGCCAGATGTTTTTTTTATTTACAAGAAAAATCACCTGCCTATTTAAAATAGGACAACAGAACTTTCCCTCCAACCCTTGGTGTTTTATAATTTATTTCTATTATTATATGCCTTAAATATATTGTTTTATTTATCTAAATTTTCCCCTGCAAAAAAGTTTGAAAATTATATAATACTAATTTAAAGCATAACCTGTACATATATATTTGTACAACAAATTTTCTCTATTCGTAAAAACCAAATTTAAAGTTAATTACATTTAAATGAAATTTAATGCAAATAAATAAATGATTAATTATTGCTGCGAACTAATCTACAATATCATTCAAATTCTGACAGCATATGTAAATCAAGTGCAAGTATCAAAATCCATGAATAAATATATAATTCCAAAAACTTATTAATCCTAAAAAAATTATAAAAATGCATAAGTGAATAATAGGATAGATTTAATCCTAAAAAAATTATAAAAATGCATAAGTGAATAATAGGATAGATTTAATCCTAAAAATTTATAAAAATGCATAAATGAAATAGGATAAATAAATTTTTGGAATTATATATTTATTCATGGATTTGATACTTGCACTTGATTTACATAGGATAAATAAATTTTTGGAATTATATATTTATTCATGGATTTTGATACTTGCACTTGATTTACATATGCTCTCAGAATTTAAATGATATTGTCTATTAGTTCGCAGCAATAATTAATAATTTATTTGTTTGTATTAGATTTCATTTAAATTTAATTAACTGTAAATTTGCTTTTTACGAGTAGAAAATGTTTGTTAAATTCAAATTTCATTCTTTGCAGCAATGGCGCAAGAGAATTATTTAAATTTAATTTATTTTGAAACTCCGTATATATATATATATTCGTTTCACTTTTATGTGAATGTATATACATGTGCTCAGACTTCGGGATGTTTACGACTCTAAACTTTCATTCCAATTAACATGAGACAGTATTAATGCCCTAAAAATTTTTTTAACAAAAATTTACTATAACAATTGCTTTTAAATTCAGTCCTCTTCAGCAGAAGCGCAGGAATTAATTAATTAAATATTTCCATTTTGTTTACCTAATGTGTGTATATATAAAGAGGAAAATATTATTTTTATAACTTCTTCTATAAAAAGAGATATGAATTTAAAATGTTTAAATTAAAAATAAATATTTTATGGATATGCATAAAATATAACTGCTCATAGTGCATTTTAAAACAAACGAGATTTCTAATAAATTATCCAGCTATGACCCTGAAGTCAGCGGTATACAAGCATAGCAAATTTTTGTGTAAATATGTGAACCTTTCTTTACAGTTGCTCTGTATGTATTTTTAAAGTACCAACTATTTTTAATTCCTTTAACTTTTTTATTTTATTTATTTATTTTTTTATTTTTCACTAACAGTACATTTTAGTTTTAATATATATATAATATTTCATTAATATTTAAGGCTTCTAAAAACGAAAAAAAAAAAAATTAATTTACTTTAGCTTCTATGGAATTAGTGATATTCATAATATGCATTATAACCTTACTTATCCAAAAATTGCTAGCGTACTTTACTTTCGCAGTTCATAAGCAGAAATAAAAATTTCCAATAACATGGAATTTAGTAAACAAAACTTTTCTGCGTTTTACGTCAGGATCCATATCAAATCCAAAACAAACAATACTCGCTTAAGCGGGAAAAATTCAGATGTTCAGCGTCGTAACTCGCGATTCGCGAACTGCTTGTTTGGCGCCAAAATATTACAGTGACACCTAGCGGCGGAAAATGAATATATTCTACGGATACGCGGCAGTGGAAACGCTTGCACGGATGCAGTAGGCGTGTCTTCAATTGACGCAACGCGTTCGTACGCAGTAGTGGAAACGAGGAATTCCCTCGCTTCCGTCTTTCTCTTGCTTCGTTTCGCTGCTCTGCATTGCCGCTCGCTACGTAGAGTTTGCTTATAAAATTAGAGGGTGCATAGCGCACCCACAGTGATAAATTGCATTATCCAGCAATAAAATTATTTTTGGAATTTAGGCCATATCTGCAAGTTGTTTGGTTTATGCATCCATCTTTCTAACTACGCAGCAAAGTCTTCAAGTTATGATGCAGTTCTCTCCAACGCCAATCCGTTGCAACTCTCACCAAGCCATCTTATTTCAATAATAACGCAATTTTATTAACAGCTTTCTATATTCGGCATAGCTGAAGGCTAAAAGCTGTGATGATGCATTTAACACAACTGAGCTTGAAGTATACCAATTTTTATTTTCACGCGTATCCAATTAGTTAGGCACACATTTATTCATTCGCAATTAAATATTATAAATTTCTATGTACATTTTTTTTTTTTTTTTTTTTTTTTTTTTTTTAAGGAAATGACGTAGATATTTCAGAAGCGAAGCTGCAAAGTATCTTGCGAGGAGGAAAACTTAAACGAAAGTGGACGCCGCAATTCAAAGGAAGAAGGGTGGGAGCCAAAAGTTTCAGTTCGAGTTAGAAAAGTTTTGGTTTACAATTATTTTGATTGAATAAGAAGTAGCTGCATTAAGCGTTACGTAACATGGAAAGGTCTCGAATTTGGGAGAACAGATGAATTTAGGGGGAAAGCATAAAATCTAGACTTCGTTAATTTTGAGGTAGGCAATTATTCTTAAAGCAGCCATCGTATTTTGTTATATCTTATATATATATATATATATATATATATGTATACATTTGGTGCGAGTTATGAGTCCATCGATTGTTCAGTTTTGCGGGTGATAGAGCGAATCTTGATCGTAACATGGTGCTTCGATAGTAGTAGTAGAAGTAACGTGGACGCCATCCCTCTACCATTACGGTTAATCGGTGCTTCGATAGGTTTCACACAACTGGAATAGTTATGAAGCTGAAATCAATTAGCCGTCCAGAAAATGCGAGAAGGGTGGTTGTTCAGACTCTCGGCGCTCTATTAGGTATTGTGCTTCAATTATGTGTATTTCTCTTCGCTCGCTGTAGCATATCTCTCATGACGACTTAAAATTTAATCCATACAATATCCCGATTACTTAAAAAACTGCTTCAAAGAGATTTTACCAAACGCACATTGTTTTATGTAACAACGCTTGAAATCCTGCACATGAGTTTGTACCGATTATGAGTTATGAGGCACATACCCACTGGATGATTATGTCAATAAAGTAAGCAAAACTCACCAGAATTACTGCAGAAATTCTTCATAGAGCTACGATTGCAGTTTAATGCGGCGTTTTCAAAGTGGAGATTGTTTAATCTTATCTGTTTATTATTATTTAAAAAAAATAAAAAATAAAAAAAGAGGCTACAGTAACAGTGACTTCGGTGCTCTATTTAGATATCCTTCGCAATTTTTTGCGTCCAATATGATTCGAGCTGTACCGCTCACATGTAAGGGAATGCGATTCCAACATCCAATAAGATGCAGTCACAACCCACGCGGCAGTTAGGCACACTGCTACGATGCAAGATATTCAAAAAAATGGTCGGCCAGCGATTGTAAAGACCTGGGATTTAAAACCGGGGCTTTCTTATTTCGTCCAGTCGGGCTAATCTTATATATTGTAAATACTTTCCTCCATTTGTACGAAAAATGGATCATTGACTCAAATAAGTTTGAGATACAAAGTTCTTACTTTCACTGAGGTTTTACTTATAATGAAAGAGCAACTCAAGGCTCTTAAAAGATTATGTAACAAATAGTTAAATTTCGTACACTTTAAAAGAAAATTAAATTCACCGAAATTAATATTATTTCTGCAACTTACCATCACATCCAGTCGCAGTTCGCCAGTCTCCTAATTTTATTCCGGAACGAGCACAATGATTAGCATATGCAGTAAGAGACTGACAATAACACCTATCACGTGGTCTGCATTCCCCTGCATCTAGATAACAGGAGCTGGGAAGAAAACATGGATTTAATTTAACATACTGAAATATAAGATGGCAAGTTTCTTTACTGGTATTATTACGTTAAAGGAAATTAATGTTTATAGCAGAAACATTCGGGATTAATAATATGAATATAGGATATGAAGTAATTACATCTCTTCTTTTCGACAGCACTGCAAGCGCATATTTAAGAAAAATTAAGGCCTTAATATGCAGATATTAAGGTCCTACGATCAGCAAGGTATTCTTTGCACTCCAAATTTATATGAAATGTGTAATGCACATATTATCAGCATCATCGCAACAAAATGCAGATCTATGTAAAATTATTCTCTTTTTCTACAGAAGACTTTAAATCGAGGGACGTCTACCTGGTTGTAGTCTTTCGCTCCCGATGTTAATTAAGATGACATTTTATGGTGACTTCTATAAATGTATCACGCTACTGCACAAAATATCAGGCTCTCAAGTTACCAGAATAGCGAAACAAAAATTAGACATCCTTAAATGAAATCCATAATTACAAAACAATTCTTTTAAAAACAAAACACAAACTAGCATATAATAGACGAAAGGCGTCTATATTCTACTAACGTAAGCCCAGGGTTGCTTTTATATGTTAGACACATAAAGCATTGCTTAGAAGTGGCAGGTTTAAAAAAAAAAAAAAAAAATGGTGTAAAATGAAAAGTAGATACTATACATATATTTTATTTTTAGATAGTACACCAATACCTATAACTACCTATACCTTCAAGTGAATATTACTTACCTGTAGCTTCAGATGATAACAATTTTGATCGATTCTTATTTAGAAAAAGAAGATTCAGAACTTGGTAAACTAGTAGATAATAAAGCGGGAGAACAACCGCATCACTTGGTAAACTGAACGTTTTTGAAGATCCGTGTTTCTGACAAACAGTACTGCCACAGGACTTCTGTGATAGGTCAATTATAAAAGAGCAAATACAATCGAAAATGTTCTTTTTCGAACCGATGTTTGAAAAAAAAAAAGTTTTCTGATGTTTATTACTGACGAGTTTTAAAGAATGGATATTCTGATACACATGTTGTACTAAACTACTGCTAAAAATGCATTTTATTCCGTGTAACTCAGTGGAATCCTTTAAAGATCTCGCAGTAAAAGTTTCATGGACATGGATTCTATGAAACAAGAGCGGAGGTGGTATTTGAGAAGTGAAAAAGAACGCAGATAGCTGAAGAAAATACATGGAATAATTTTGATTCATTGCTCTAATACTAAGGACTGAAATAATTGATCGAACTTGGCGTATTTCATTCTATAAAAAATAGTACTATATATCGTTTTTGCTATAGAATTTTAAACAGAACACGTTAGCAATTTCAGTGTCTTGCAGAAATGGTTATAATGATTGGAGATTGGAGACACATTTATAACAAATTATTATTTTATGAAAAATGTAATTCGCATTTGCATTATTTTCCAACTTGTTCTAGATATATAAGAAAATAATCAAATTATATTAAAAGAGCATATTTTGAACAGCACTATTGGCTAGAAGAGAAAAGAAGTTGTTTTTGTATGATATGGACCAAAATTTCATATCATCTCGAAGTCTCAGCAAGTATGGTGGTAATTAAGAGATTACTTCTTACTTAACTGCTTAGATAAATCATTAATGATATTGGTGATTACACGTAATATAGAAAACAAGATGTTTTCAGAATTTAATTACAATTCATTTAGAAGTCAAACAACAAAAATCAGCGTTATATTTTCAAATTTTCGCAGTGAAAATTTGAAAATATAACGCTGATTTTCGTTGTTTGACTTCTAAATTAATATAATTCATTATTATTATTATCCTGAAATAGGATCATGTAGATTTCTAAGAACTAAACGTGGGTAAAATATTTTGAAAATTGGACATTGAAAACTTTTAAGGATTTGGCTGCTGTCACAGTTTTTAATAAAATAGATTCATCATTTTACAAAAGTAAGTCTCATCGTAGAGGAGAATATTAAGCCAAAGTTAGGAAAATGGATTTTTTACACCTATCTGCCGAAGATTTAACAATATGGTATTAAAACAAAGGATATATCTTCTTTTTCGAATGAAATAATTTATATTTATGTACCTTAAGAAAGCTTTCTTTTTTTCGATTTTCCTTGTTTCGCACACATTTTGCTTCAGAACAACTTAAAATGCACGAATTTTACCTTAAAGGTGTTCTCCTTCTCCAGTGTCTTTTCTACCAGGTGTAAAAAAATGTTTGAAATGGAAAGATTTTTTGATGAAACATTAGAAAAGTTGACTTCTCACTCTTTTGGATCAAGTTTCAAATCGGTTTGGAATTCGGAACACGTCTTACTGTAATGTGTTAAAGAACAAGAAGGGCCATCCTTAAAAATCTTTCGATCCAAAAATGCTTGAGAGAAGTTGATGATAACGGAAGAAAGGATATTATTCTATATATTATAAGCCAAGAGTTTTATTTCATGTGTTGCTCTTGGACAAAATTAAAAATTAAGTTTCGGTAGATAATTCACTTGTACGTTGCCTAAATTAAATAATTCAATTTATAGGACTAAAAAAATTAACTTCATACATTATCAAAATTATAATAAAAAAAATCTGAAAGGTTTCAGATTTTAAATTACGTCCATAGGGGCCTTTTTTAACGTTTTGTGTGTTACCTTTCTTTATTAAATATCATGTTCTTTGCACTTCAACCATAAAATTTAGTTCAATAGCAATATCGCAAAATAATTTTAAAATCAGCATACGTATCTTTAGAATTTCTGATACACAGATCCGCGCGCTGGAGATAAAGAGGTCTTTAGTCACAGTTTTTTCCCCGTAGAGTGTTGCCATTGCTCGCTTTTAAATCGTTGAGTTTGTTACTCCAAAATTGGTTAAAGTTTCAGAAAATATGAAATCGATAATAAAACAAATTTCAAATTTCAAAGTTGGTCTTCCACATGCCCATATTCGGGTAGGAGGATTACGTTGCATCAAAATTTCGATGGCTGTATGTGCCGTTGTTTTTTATCACAATGCGAGAAATATACATACATTTATGCATATTTTTCATTATTTAATTTCTTCAAATATAATGCAGGACTCTAACATTTGGTGGCAACAGTTTGAAAAGTGAAACGGACATTTATAGTGATTCAACGCAAAATCGCAAAACGAAAACAATAGTCTTTCAGGGACAAAGCTCTTTTGGACTAAAAAATCAGATCGATTTAAAATTTTTTAAATTTTTTTCACATCAGTGTTTTAAATATAATATAAATTTATAATATTTAACTATTAAATATAATTTAATATAATATAAATTTATAATATTTAACTATTAAATGTAATATAAATTTATAATATTTAAATATAACTTAAAATAAAACAAACAGGAGACTTGAGACTATTTTGGATATGATATTCAAATAAGTTAGTTAACAGCTGAAAAGTTTAAAAATGATCTATTAAATAATATTTCAGTTGCAAAAAATATACCGTACTATTTATAATTTCGTGAAACATTTCAAAATTTCATAAAAGGTATACATCGTAAACGATACCAGATTTTATTATACTGAAACAGAGGATGCTCACCAAGATTTTTTTTCCTATAATATATTTCAGAATTCCTCGGCACAGTTTCTTTAATATTCTGCCAACTTCTCTAACTTAATTAGAATACCTAATATAGATTTTACATAATATATTTTACTTTTTAAATTTTATTGATAGAAGGATTTGGGTAACTTTCGATTTCAAAGCATGTCATCGTTCTAGATGTCTAAGACATCTTACACCGTGTGAAATATATGAGAAAATTTGAATGCATTTGAATATGTTACAAAGGAATACAAATAAAGAACCTTTTCTTATTATTAATTTCTTCTGGTATTAGGAAATGTTCTATATGTTTGCTTTTAATCGCTTAGTAATTTGATGATAATTTAACATACGACAGACTTATAATAACACTGCATATACTTGCATTAACACTGCATATAACTTGTCCCTCTAAAAAGTTACATTTGCTGAAACCAAGTACTTTTGAATTGCTATACTTACTTATAATAAGGAACAGCGCTAACAGCTCTATAACAAGGTTTGAAAACGGATGACTTCAGGACGTTACACTCCCGAAGAGCCCTGACATGGATGTCAGGGTTCGACCAGGTTATAGTTTCAGGTGATTTAGCAGGTTGAGGAAGGGTGCACCTTTTCATACGCCCCACCTGTAATTAAATATTATTTATTGCTTTAAAAATTTACAAAAATAGTATAAAATATTTGTTATATCAACAAATACGTCATTTCACGAAAAGATAAAAATAGCTGCGTAAGAATGTCGCGAAACTCTTTGCAATGATTTTCATTTAAAACTGTCTTGCTCAATTGGCATATCAAAAATGTTATTTTAATAAGTAAAAGTTTCTAAACTATCTCAAAATTTGTAATCACATCCGATGTGTTACTTTCCTAGGAAGTAGAGATCGATATCAATTATCATATTAAATTATCGGATTGAAAAAGTTCTAGCCGTTTTAGAACTTCATAAAATCTCTTCATTGGAAACATTCTCTAAATTTTTTGTAAGTCTACATAAAAGCAGGGTATAAAGCAATACAAAGTGCACTAGATTAAAGTGCATTCTATAAACATGAGCTTTGATGTGCCTTTGAATAAACCCTCTGTTGACAGCTATCTGATTTACAGCTTCAAATACAGACTCAGTGTTGCCGTGTCGAATCTTCATCTTAATGCTGCATTTTAGTGACAGCACCGTCAGAGTCACCAATGCAAAATATTGATTTATGCACTTATGTTACGGTAGCTTCAATCTTGAAGATCGCCCTGCTCAAGACAGCTTCCTGCGATGAATCACAGCAGACCCACGTATGATATGTGATGACCTACGTGAGTTTGATGAAACTTTAAAATAGGAAAACACCACTGCGATCGATCAGCTGCATACAAATTGGAGGGTAAGCAAGCCTGGGCAGTAAGCTTTAGAAAGTTTCAATAGTACTGACTGTTATCAGCATGAAGAAGTGTCTATTTCTTTGCTCTCTACTACGGGTCTGATGTCTAGTGCGAATGAAAAATCCATACCTGTTCAATGTAAAGCGAAAATAAAGTTGGACAAAAAAAAGGGAAACATTTAATCTTCAACAGAAACGAAGACATACCTGCGTCAATATATTTTATGGGTTAGGATTTATAAGACTTGTTTTAGACAAAGACCAACATCATTGCTGAGCTATTGCTAACTTGGGTGATAAATTTCTGACAATCCCTCTCTCTTTCTCTGATAATCTGAAATTTGGGTGATACATTTCTGAGATATGCTTGCGGACATCTATTATTCATTCCTGCATGAGTAATCCACCAGATATATTAGATATAATTTATCTTATTTACATTGATAAATACATTAATAAATTGGACATTGATAAATATATCGGGTAATTTATCTTAACCACCATTTAGCCTAGACTTTACGCTAAGAGATTACCACTTTTTACCAGTCGCTGAATAGCGTCTTCGAAGGGCAGCACTTCATCAAGTTGAAGGAGTGACTAGCAGATGCCTTTATTTCCAAGCGGGCTCATTTCTTCAAGGAAGGGATCGAAACGGTTACACGTGAAAACATCGCGGACAAAATCAACACAAGGGAAAAACGTTGTCGTACAAAACATCTAAGAGAAAAAACGAGGAGAAAACATCGTGGTAGAAAAGAAATTGGTTCAAAAATTTCGCAGTTTTAAAACATCGTCTTAAAAATATCGTGGTAAAAAATAAAGCATCTACGAAGTATCACCTGATGATAGCATCCCACACGTGCGTTTTCTGATTGTAAAAAACTTAAATGAATTTTTGCATAATGATTTGTGAGCACAGCAAGAGATAAGAAATGCAGGGTTTTTACAAAGTCCCGGGCCCATTTTTATGTTTAATAACTCATAAAATAATAAATGGTTAGATAGATTCAAAAAGTTTCATGACCCTTGTCAATGAACTTTCACGTGTGCCCCCTTCGTCGCACGGAGAATATCAAGCCAGTATTCAATTTCACGCCAGGTACCGGCAAGCATATCGGCAACCACAGAGGCTATTGCAGTTGTAATTCTGGCTTTTAGGTCATCAATGTTCAACACTCTCCTCCTGTAAACAGTGTCCTTTACAAATCCCCAAAGGAAAAAGTCCAGCGGCGTTATATCAGAACATAACATTGCAATAGTTGCCAAAAAAAAAAAAAAAAGAGAGAGAAATGCAATTAATAAGCAGACGATATTTAAAAAAGTACAGATATTTAGGCTGGAAAATGAAATTATCTGAAATTAACCACACGCGCAGACGATATTTACAAAAGTAAAGATATTCAAACCTGAAAAGGAAAATATATAAGTTATTTCATCAATAAATGCCATAAGTTTGTTTATATCTTCATTATTTTATGAGTTATTAAACATCAAAATGGGTCCGGGACTTTATAAACACCCTGTATTTTTATCTTTATATTTCATATTTGTGTGATAGGTAATATATTTTTACTGAAACCAGAAAGGAATCTTAAAACATTCAATCTTAAACATTCAAAAATCTGAAAATTAATAGAATCTAATGCTACATCTATCCATTTAAAAGAATTTTAAACTTTTAATGGTTAGCAACATAATGGTAACCATTAAAAGTTACTATTTAATAAACCCTTTTTATAAAGGCGTATCGTTATTTTTTAATGAAAAATTATAGTATAAAAAAGATTAGGAAGAAGAAGATGCGTAATTTTAAAATTCTATTAACTGTTATACGTAGCATTAATTTTTACAAATTTTCAAGTTTTGAGTGCTTAATCAATGAACTTAATTCCTTGTTTATCAATAAAGATTTATATATTAGTTAATGCAAAAATATGAAACATAAAAGCAAAAATATTCTTTACCTCTTCTTGTATTCACTAAGCATTATACGAAAATTCACTTAAATGTTTTACCGTCGGAAAACGCATGATATTTTGAACGCGAATGTTTTAAAACTGCGAATTTCTTGCGAGCTTTATTTTCTATTACGATGTTTTACGACTGATGTTTTCTCCTTGCTTTGTTTTTTTCCCCGTGATGGTTTTCCCTTGCGTTGTTTTCTCTGCCATACTTTCGTCCGCATTGTTTTCTGCGGATACCATCAAAATAGTGGCTGAGTCTTCGCAGAAGGTCATCGACGCAAATTGAGCCCATAATGCGCAATGACCAGTTTTTTTAGTTTTGTGAAACAAAAATGTTCATAGTGTTCTAAGGCAGCCACTACATTTTCAGCAAATTAACACAATTAAATTTTGACATTTTGGAAAATTTGCAGTTAGTTCGAAAAATTGCTTACACTGCCTGGATTTATTTATTATTCTTCAGCATCAAAATAAATAGTACTCAAGTTTCAAGTAAGAAATTAGAGAGTAATCAAATAAGTATCTAGTAAGTTAGAATTTTTGAATTATGTCAAGTATGCAAGGTTATTTGCCTAGAAGGATATTTTTAGTGGAAAGTTCTCTAAGAGATTGGTTTGCATTTACAACCGGAGCAAATGAATGAAACTTCAAAAGAATAAGACAAAATTACTGGAATTCTGTAATATATATGTGCTATCTCTATTTTTTACTAAGCGTTTATATTATTAATAATTTAGAAGGCATTAAAATTTATATAAAAAATTTTCAGGCTTCCAAATTTCACCGACAAGAAGTCCAGGTTCACTAATTTCATAGTTCCACAGAAAGAAAAAAAATAGTAGAAATGTTATCAGTTTTGATAAAAAATAATTAAGACATTTTGAACTGTGAAATAATAATTGAATAGTAGTTCAAATAATAATTTTAGTGATAAATCGATTATTAATTAGCTTTTTCAAAGCATGCGATGTCCATCTGTCTCAGGAGTGTTTTTTTAACATTTTTTGAATGCGAATGTCTCCCACTTACATGCGAGAAAAACATGAATGCACTGTTGCTCTTTCAGTTAGCGAGAATCTAACTTGGCTGTCGCCAGTAGTTAAGTTTAGCTTTTAAAATACGCTAGCTGTTTAGCAGTTTTTGTAAAATACGCAATAATTACCTTCCTTTAGCAAAGAGGGATTTTGTATATGTACAAAATGTCTGTTATGTACAAAATTTATTACCTTTGTTGAAAATAATGTTTAAGAAGCAATATGAAATATTTTTTTCCTTTTTGAAGGAAGGCTGAAATTCTAGTAAATCCTGCTGGAAGGTTAATGCATTAGGTATTTAAGTAAGATAAAAGAAAATACTGATATTTAAAAATTTCAGTTAATGATTTTGATTAAAATTTTACAGCGCTGGCTGTTAAAATTGCAACACTTACCTTGAAGAAGCAACTGATCAAAGAGAAATTTGCATTATATATAGCACGGAATACGAAAGTCTCGCACCAGTGTAAATGAGAAGGAAAAAAAAAAAGTTGACTGCCACATCACGAGCCTAGCACCAGAAATATGGTTCGTGGAATGTCAAGAAGCATTCGCACGTACGGTGAGACGTCGTCTTGAGGGCCATGAAATGTTTCTACGGCAGTCATTGCTTTGCCTGTCTTTAATGGCGTCTGCAGCTACAATGAAGCATTAAACGACGGACATGCATGCATTAAATATGAGTCCCCATCGGCGTCATCGGTAAGCATATCTGCTACTCTGACTTGTCAACTTTATATTACACATATCTTAAGTTTTATGGTTGTCCGATATATTCAAAGATAGCCTAAAGCCCCTTTCCGAATGGACAAGGCGTGACCAACGTCACATTCAACGTTCCACGTTTCCTCGACACACATCGAGTAACAATTCTGCCTTGGCTGGCTCGTTCACCAGACTTTTCCCAACTGAATAGATCTCATTTATGGATCACACATGCTGGCATAATAGAGACCACTAGCGGCTACAACATGTGAACTCTGACAACTTATTAGAGCTACCTTAACTGCAATATCTTAAATGCCATCCGAAGTCATCTATTCGACTCCAGGTATCGCCATGTAGTACTGTTATTTGTTATGTTTTATTATCACATTTGGTAATAATATTTATAAAACGGACCTGAGCATTCCTCGATTTCATGCTTGTATTGCAAGAAGTATGTAAACGAAATAAATTTACTTCTCTTTGTCGATCGAAAAATTTTAAGGACTAATAATTTATAAAAAATAGATTAAAAGAAAAAGCCAGTTTCCCTTAAAAAGTCCTCCACGAAGGCATCCCTCTTTTAAGGCAGATAGCCATCGAGTGCTTTGCCGTAATCTAATAAACCAAAGAACTTTAAAAAAGTAAATAACCAGTATTTCGCTTTTCTGCTTAAATAAAAATAATACCTACATTTAAAAACTGATGAAACTACAGAATTAAAAAAAAAATTAGACTTCAATTTAAAAAGAATTTTACATTCAAAAGCGATTGTTTCTGCATCTCTTCGTAACCATAAATAGTGTAAAAAAAAAGTCCATTGCAATTTAAATATATTTAAAAACAATGTGTGTGCAGTTGAACCGAGCTATAACGAATGTTTCGCTATTTCCGGTGGTTTGCTATATCCGATCCGATAAGAAAAATGGATTATCTCACAAAAATGTGTAAGAACTGAATGATGAATAAAGAAAAAAAAAAAAAAAAGATTTTCACATATATTATAAGATGTAAAAAATTAACCTAGTTTAAAAAATACTATTAAGACTTATTTGCAATTATAATTACTATTATAGTTTTTAAATTTCTTTTCCAGTCTTTCCAAAGTGTCTGTCAAATTCATTTCCTTTATCCAAAGTATTTGTTCAGATACTGGCAGATCACAGTTTCTTTGAATGGTGAGCCATTTCACAAATGTTTTTCAACATCTCTACGTTCCATCTATCTCAACGTTTTCCTCGTATCGAAATTTTTTTCCACGAGCAAAAATTATATAACTTTGATTCTTTTTTTTTTCCAATGGCAGATTGTGAACAATTACAAATGTAACCCAGTCCATTAATCTATACAAAGCCGGATGTGGTGGTCTCTTTATTATGGACGCACCTAATAGGTGGGCCACCATCGCCTTTCCTATGAAGGGACGGACACTTACAACCATGCCTTCTCCGGGATTCGAACCCAGGCCCTTCAGCATCGGAGTGAGCTTCCCTGACCACTATACCGACTGGGCGGATATAACTTTGATTCTTTCATATGATATTAGCTATAGATTTGGATAAATTGTATTTCTGGCAGATAATGATTTGATTGGATCCATTTTATATTTTTCGAATAATGTTTACCTTATCTTCAAGGCTGAAGGTTTACAGCACCCCCTTGGGGATGACTTTTTGACATTTCGTCACTTTCGTGTCTTATCCAATATCCATTTAAAACATAATTACTTCCAAGATATGCACGGTTGCGATACAATAATTTAATAATCTTTTTAAAGAATGTTTTATTTCTTGCAAAATTATTTGAAGGATAGAACTTGGAGAGCATTTAGACTCAAACAAAATAGATCGATAAGAATTAAAACTTTTCATTTTGTAAAAGAAGGATCCCCTGAAAAACCACAAGCACATAAGATTCATTATTTTCTCAATACCTGATTAGAAAAAATTTCAAAATTTCTATCATCGGCCTTGAACAGAGCTCTGTCTGGCATCTCAAGCAAAGAATTTGAATGGAATTAAAGAAACCGCTTCAGGGTGTCCTAAGATATGCTTATTGTATTCTCGTTTTCCTAGAGTGGATGTCACATCTATATTGCTCAGCCTTTGTTTAGAACATTAAAACAAGTAGGGGTGAAGATAAAAGGAAAATAACATAAAGGTGTTTTCCTTTACGAATGGAATGAAGAACATGGAAAGAACATGGATCCTAATACCCTAAACGTGGACAATTTTAATAGTTAATAATATTTTATTTAAAACTCGCAGAAATTCTGAAAAAGATATGAAAAATACACAAAACTTTCACTCGAATTCGTTATATCCGACTTACATACTCTTGGAGGTTCGCTATAATAATGTAAAATAACATTAAGTGCATAGGAAACTGGATGGATTCAAAAGATTCGTTCATTATATTCGAAATTCGTTATAAACAGATTTTGTACGCGTGTATATATATATATATATATATAGAGAGAGAGAGAGAGAGAGCGACTATTAATATCCGTTTTCCTACAAAATTTCATTATAATGATTAGATTTATTTGGCTGCAAATGAAAACACAGAGTCCGAAATTTTGTAGTTGACATATTATAAAATGTTACATATGTATTTTCATTTGATCTAAAATTCTAATTTTTATAAAATATTATTAAGGAGTGAATATCGCTTTTAAATGATTCACGTCGTTTACTCTGTTAAGAAATAGTTCTTTTATGAAGTGGAACATTAGCAAAAGATCTTATGCTTCTTTGACTGAGTGAAATTTCCTTTATTATTTGATATTATTCACAATGGACAGTATTTTATTCATTATATAAAAATAGTAAAATCGCCTTGAATATTTTTAATATTCAGTTTATTTTTCAAATAGAATTACATATGATTAACAACGGAACATTTGAAGAACACAGCACAATAATTATTATTCATATATTCAAATTAAAAAACTAATAAAACTGGTCGAAAAACATTTATCAGTATATAAATGACAACTTTACAGACGTATTTCAATGAAAACCATGCATTAAAATTTCTTTAATAATTAATTAATATTGTATCATTAATTCGTTAATAATGCATTAAATTCTTTAATAATGCTTTAAAAATTTGTTAAAAATACTTCTCGAGAAAATGGTTAGTTTGACATGAGGCTTACCCTCCACGAATTTCCAAACTCTTCGGCTGTGCGGACAATATCTCCCTTCTTTGTTTGGAATTCATCATCTTTGTCACCGTTGTAATTGCCACATAATCCACACAACTGGTCTTTGTAGTGAGAAGGTACGGTCACCTCTAAGTAACTGTTGCCATCCCACACTACTTTAAGACCTTCAGGGAAAAAAACTGAAATAGTAAATTTTTATATTTTCAAAAAAAAAAAAATTATTTGATTTTGAATTTGAAATAGTGAAATACAGTCCATCCTTCATGAATGCAATAAAAATGCCTTATACGAGAGGTTAAAAGGAAATGAGAAAACAAAGGAATTTTCAGAGGAAATGAAAACATTTTCAAAGAAAATGAAACAAAGGAAATAATGAATAAACTAATGAAATTCTTAATTTCTCGTCAGTTTATTTACAGTATTGGAAGTAAATCGTTTTACAAAAGAAAATTTCCGAGCTAATTTGTAATATAGTTTTGTTAAAAAATCTTACCTAAATTTGTCCTGACATTCACATTTCTCTCTTCCTGAAACACAGTGAGAACTCCTAATTCGATATATGGTAGTTTAACAGGCTTGTGATTGACGTGAATTTTATTATACTGGCCGAGACGAACTTTCGTACCATTTACCTGTTAAAAAAGGAACATATAATAAAATATGAAAATTATATTATTTTATTTCATCTAAGGCATTCTAGTATTACGTTCAATACTTAGATTTGAGTTTGTAAAACATGCAGTATTTTCTTTCCCTGTAAAACATGAATCTCATGAGCAAAGTGGGAAAGAGTCTACACATTCAGAAGAAGTGTGAGGGATAGAGTTAAAAGTTTTATCGCTTCAGAAATCTTTAATCTGATTGGATAAGACGGATTTGCAAAGAGTAAAGTGCCTATTGCCAATAAAAATTAGTTTGCTGTTATATTTTTTATCTTAAACACACAGACACACGTATATATATATATTTGTGTGTCTGTCTATGTGTGCGTGTAGATATATATATATGTAACGTATATGTAAAAAGTTATTAACATTTATTAATTTAAAAAAAACACTATTCTATCCTAGGAAAAAATTGTTATCTACTGTTAAAATTGTTTTTACAGAATATGGCAGCTTGAGTCTTTCTCCCACATTTACGTTTCATAATATTTATCCATTTTGCGGCAACCAAATAAATCAGTTGACATGAGTCCATTTTCCTCCTTTTGGAATTTAAAGCATTTCGGCACGAAAAAGAATATAAGAATTTTTTTTTAATTTCTCGTTTTTAGAACAATTCTTCCATTAATAGCAAGTTAAAAATTTAAAGTTTCTTATAATTCAGCTTCGTGTAATAAAAGATATTGTTTTTAGGATTAATTCGAACATTTCTCATAAATCATTAATTTGAATAACATTTTCGAATATTTTGTGTACAGTTTTCCTAAGTTATTATCTCTTTTTATGAGTTTTGTTTTATGTATAAATTTTGCATTTCAATTAAGACCGTTTTTTGCGTAACTTTAAATCATTTGCATTTCAATAACATAGAGCCAGAGGCATGTCGGGATGTTCATGCCATTCTGAGATAAAAAGAACTATTATTTAATATTTTTGAATAATTAGCTAGTAGCGGTATGTATCTAAAAATGCCAGGAAGAACGAAACGTTTATTCAGCCCTCAAAAATAATTATAATAATTTTAAATACTTACGCCTTGAAAAGCTTTATTTGAAGCATTAAACAATGAAACAATTAATCGTTTTCATTTGTTTACCTTATTGTTCATTTTTGCCGCTTTAATTATTTCCTCATTTCCATTTTACGAAAAAAAAATTTGCCAAACATTGTTCTAATTTAATAATATAAATAATAATATCCATAATAACGCATTCTCACTCCTCTTTGCTTAGTCACACTTTTAATTCCCTATAAAAGTTTTTCCTAGAATAGGATAATCTTTTTTAAAAAAATATCTTAATATATGTTAGTAATTTCTTACATCCAATCCTTTGCAGGTCAAGCGCAGGAATTTATTTATTTTATTTTTATTTTTATTTTATTTATAAGCCTTATAAATAAATAAATAAATACATCAGTTTTCCACCAAAAGTGAAAAGAATATCTTCAAGAAGTGAACCAATCACCCTTAAATAAAAGCAGTATTTTATTCTGATCTACCTATTATTCTGATTCGAAAATATATAATGCTAAATTTCAAGCAATTCGTCCCTTTCAAATTCAAACAGGTAAGGCACACCTGTTTGAATTTGAAACACAGCCTTCGTAGAAATTATCTCAACTCATCATTCATATGGTTGCAGAGTATATTAGGCTATTTGCGCATGGCAAAGCACCCTAGGATACTTGGTAGTGAATGGGGGGAAAATGGATTCATTTGCGTTGGCTAGCAGACGTGTTTGATAAATAAAATAATCCACTTCAACTTTGACAACAAAATTCGCTTTCAACACTTCAAGACAATAAATTTTCTACATCCAGCTCTTACATAGAATTACAATCAACATTTAGTAGGTCCTGCTAGTTGGTCCAGCGGCAACCTAATTAAATGAAGGCTAATAAATGAAGGTTGGTCATCGAAGGCGGATAATGTTATTGCCGACGTGGTTGCTAAAATTGTTTATTGGGAGCTTCATTATACCGAGTCAGACAACCTATCAAAATTCTCAAACATCCCACACTTGCAAAATATTGGAAACTCATTTCTTGCATTATAATCCGTTTAGAGTGTCCGTCCGGCTGATAAACGTCCATTCGATATTTCAATGCAAGATGAGGAAGGCGACTGTTCAAACTTTAAATCTAAATTTATCCAAGCCACATATTCCTCGGGCTCGGGCATTTTTATTTGTTAAACTGAATCGAAAATAATACAAGCTTTAGCATACTCTAATTATAATGGTAGTCAACCTGATATACCCTATTACTATAGTTTATGAAGATATTAGTCAGTCTGTGAGTTCAGAAGGTTGGCAATTTCTACGAATGCATCTGGTCAGTATTTCACAAAATTCAGTTTTCTTTTACATGAATTTTTTAGCAACGCAAAATTTAATTTTTATTGGTAGTCATCTGTTGACGTATCTATGCGAGTCAGAATTTTTTTTCTGGTAGTGTTTGAGTGGCGTTTCAACAGAGGACTTGCTTAAGAGCAACTCTAGAGGAGCCTTCAGGATAGCTGATCTATTTCTTCTTGAAAAGTCTTCAGTCTTCTTACTATTTCTTCAAGTTCTGTAGGACGCAGAGACTGCCTCAGATTTTATACTGCTTTTCATTTGCAAATGCAAGATATAAAGCAACAAGATACAAAACAACAAAAAATTGCATGTCCTAGAGAAACAATGCCTGCAGAATGCACGAAGCGTATAAATTTATTACTTCGAGTTTGTGAAAAGGAATACTTAAGCCAATAGTAAGATTATTTACCTATTACAATATTATGAATTTTATTTTATGCCGCAATCCAAATGTGAAGCAATCGTACTAAATAGAATTATCTAATAAACATAATCACGTATCATTTTTCTTATCATTAAAAAACACTTGGGTCCTCGCACATATTTTCTAAACAAAGATATTCTAATGGAATAAATTTTTCATATTTGTTTACTCTTTGAAAATTTGTTTAATATTCTGTTCAATTAAATTCAAGGGAAATTAATTAAATTGATGCTATGTTAAATTAATTAAGCTGTTTTGCACAAACACACACGCGCACGCATACACAAAATTCAAACTTAACGATTTTTCCCCCTAACAAAATAAACAAAAAAATTGTTAAAAATGGAAAAATGCAAGTATAATATAAAACTCAATATTATCGGTAAAATAATGCGGTATAAATTTTGAAAACAGAGTCTTTTGTGTTCTAAATATATTTTAACTTGCAAACAGTATGCAGTATTATCTGTTCTATCTTTTTTTTCCTTTCAATAAAACATAATTTAAAATTAAGACTTCCATAAACAAACCTTAATTGTAACAGACTTTGTCCAAGAAAATGTCTTTGAGTATCGAGCCTCATTCAGTACTTCCACTGAGAATGAACGGTTAATGCAGTCCTTTGACAAGACGTACTTACACGAACCTTGGTAGTTAAAAATCCGACCATCGAAAGTTCTATAATGTGGATCCCCGAAAACAGTGCAAACGCCATCCTCTAAAAATGAAAGCACTAAATTAAAAACATCTTAAAAGTAAATTAATTAAAATAAACAACGGCTATTTTTCATTCCGTAATTTAATTGAATCGTTCCGGGAAAGCTCCAGTCCGTTTTCTAAAATTCAAGAAATCTGGAAAATATTGTAATTTAACTTTAAGTAATACGACTATACTAATTTCTAAAAACGTTTTGGAGGCCATAAATCTATAAAAATTTTCTATAAAAGCCTTAAACTAAAAGAGAAATAAATGTTAAATAAACTAATAATTAAAAAACGTAGGCATCTTGTTTTTACACAGAAGTTATAAAATTAAATAAGGAAGAGGGATTATTGAACAAACAGAAGAGACAAATAACAAACAAGTAAAAATAAATTAAAAAAAATTTTTTTGTAATTTACATACACATGTAAATTACAGCCTACACCGGCTTAATACGCGAAGCAGGTGATATGTCGCATTGGGGCTCTTTCTTCAACGGGTACGTAAGGAATAAAAAAATAAAATAGAATTTTATTAGCCTATACTAAATATAGATAAACAATAAATATATTTTCTTCGACTTTTAATAACATTTCAAGCAAAATTTATGTTGTTTTACGATATAAAATAATAGAAAGCATTTGAAGAGACGGCATACTGTTTGACATCTGCGAAGCACTTAAGAATGATATGAAAGTGCATTTTAGAAAATAAATTTAGTTAAAATGCTTTACAGAAAATCACGTTTGAACTATAAGAGATCGTTAAAATGATGATATGAGCAAGATAACGCAACAAATGAAATTTTGTATGAATTATTTATATTAAAATCACAAAAAGCATACTTTTAAAACATTTAACATTTCAAATATATTTTTTTTTTCTAAATTCAATATTTCATATAAAAATGCAATTTTTTTGTTTGAAAAACTTATCGTTAATGACTGTTCTAGTAGTAGGATTTTGACTGTATTTTTAATGAATAATGTTTTCAAAATAAAAAAATTGTACATATTTACATATGTATTTATTTTGAAATTTGTTTACTATTTAATTTTAATTACATTAGGAAAAAAGAAAGGCATCTGAACACCGACCCCCAACGTAAAAATAGGCCAACACAAAATAAATTATATTAGTAACAAAGAAAGGCACCTGAATACCAATCCCAACGGGAAAAAAAAAAAAAAAAAAAAAAAAAAAAAATAGGGGGGAACTAACAGAAAACGGTACATTAGAAAAAAAGAAAGGGCATCTGAATACCGATCCCAACAGGGAAAAAATGCCAGCAGAAAAAAAATGACATTAGAAAAAAGAAAGGCACCTGAATATCGACCCCAACGAAAAAAATGACATTAGAAAAAAAGAAAGGCATTTCATTTGAATAACAATCCTAAACAAACAAACAAACAAAAAAAAAAAAAAAAAAAAAAGGCCAATGGAAAAAAAAAAATAACCAAATAAAAAGGGGGGAACCCAGCTAGGAATAATGGTAGACCGAGAAAAAGCCAATTCAGGTGCAATGAACCAATGAGCTAATTTCTAGTTTATCCGATTAATTTCTAGTTAGATAATGAATATGTCTTTAGTCTAGATCAAGGTTTCTAAGCCTTTTTAGCCCATGCACCCCTTTCACATTTTTAGAAGGTCATTCTGCTCTTCCCCTTTCCAAAACTAGAAATAAAAGGCTGAACGCATTCCTCCTGAAGCTATGAAGTTCTCCCTTCCCCCGCGGTTAAGAACTCCTGCCTCTAAGGCTGTCTACTTTTTGCGTCACAGCATTGTTAAACAATGCAAACTAAGAAATTACTGTAGCAAGCTTCTGCAAGTACCAGTACAAAAAAATAACAGAATTCAGAAACAACATGTATATTCTTAAGAGTTTCCTATATTTTTTTAAATAATTTTTCGATAATATACTGTATCTCTTTGACATGATTTATCATGTATCCAAATTTTAATTTTCATAAACTTTTACATTATTAGCATAATTAACAAAAGACACTTCTAACACTGCATATTATGCACTCGATCAAAGAATAATCGTTTGCATTCCTAGCAACTTAATTCATAAAAGGGGAGAATCACTGCTATGTAAGTTTAACATAATTTGGTGTTTACACTTTATTTCTGCATATATATGCACTGGGTGTATCCTAACACTGTTATATATATAATTGCTTCTGACTTATCATTACTCTGTTACTTTAAGTACTTCAGGGTCAATTTTTCCTGACAGTAACGACAGCTACGGGAGATGGTCGATTCGTTTAATTTTTTCCCTCCCTTCATTCCCATTTAGCGCATTTCGCTTCGCGAAAAGAGAACGAACAAAATCTGATTTGAACTACGGCCCATCAGCGGCCGAGCGGTAAAGTCGCTGAACACTGGTAGTTTGGTCCGAGGTTCGAATCCCACGAACGGGCTGGCTGCATGGGTGTTTTCGTGGTTTTCCCCATGTGTAACGTGTATACGAGCCAGTTCCCTTAGAAAGTCCTCCACGAAGGCATCCCTTCCCTTAGGCAGACAGCCCTCGAGGCTTTGCCATAATCACACATACACTGATTTGAACTACTTGAATAAACTACAAATGCGGCGAAGGAAATAAGTGCTGTGTGGTGACGACGAAACATGTTATGATCGCAAATGGGGAAGGTCAGTTGATAGCACAATTTTTAAAGTAACAGCCTATACCAACAGATATTTATCGAATAACATTTTTTTCGTCAGGAATTTTTAAGCTTAATTTTACTTGTCGGCGCTACGTTTTCCGCTTTATTTTTCCTTCATCTATGGCACCAAATTCCTGCTGCAGCTGGCACTGACGACATGCTTTGATTATTGGAGATCTTGATACATACGAGCATATAACACCCCTTTGTTATTATTTTAGTAAATTAGCTGCATGATTTACAAAAATAATTTTAATGAAATGTGCATTTATCTCTATTAATGAGATGTTAGACATAAACTTTGCATAATGAAATGAACTTTGTTCCATTTTAAAGTTTAAAGCACACCGCATCTCTAAAGTTAACAACATGCCAGAAGGATATTCTCTTTTAGTGTATGTATTAATTGAAAATAGCAATAATCGCATCCGTTCAGCTGCGAGTTATCGAAAACCACACTTTCACTACATGTGGATCCTCTAAACAATGATAAAGACCAATGATAAACTAACAATAAATTCTCCATTTTCAGTTTATTTAAATATACACTCATGTCCATAAATTAAGGATAATTCGGAGTCACGCGAAAATCGAACTCTAAAATAAATATATCACCTGTAAAATCACTACACACATCTTCAAGAATCATACGCAAATTTCAGAAAGTAACCAGATGACACCGATGGTACGTTACAATAACGAAAGTGTAAGAGAGTGATATATGAGGAATACAGGCAAAGAAGTAAAATTGTTCGCAGGCGCTTTGTAAGCATTTCAATGCAATAACCGAATATTTATGACACAAAGGACGCATTTGGATGATTTTTTACGTGGTTAAATAAATTATCGGCCGTCTGGAATGTGGGCGTACCCAACTGGAAGTATCAGACGAACTTGGAATTGCCCAGAGTGTCATCTCCAGGCTTTGGCAACGATTCCAAGATGATGGTAATGTGAGTAGACGTTACAGCACAGGTCGCCCCAGAGTTACAACGCCGAAAGAGGACCGGTATTTGGCAGTTACTGCCAAAAGAAACAGGCGGAGCACAGCCTCAGACCTTGTTTGCAGGCGCTTTGTAAGCATTTCAATGCAATAACCGAATATTTATGACACAAAGGACGCATTTGGATGATTTTTTACGTGGTTAAATTATCGGCCGTCTGGAATGTGGGCGTACCCAACTGGAAGTATCAGACGAACTTGGAATTGCCCAGAGTGTCATCTCCAGGCTTTGGCAACGATTCCAAGATGATGGTAATGTGAGTAGACGTTACAGCACAGGTCGCCCCCAGAGTTACAACGCCGAAAGAGGACCGGTATTTGGCAGTTACTACCAAAAGAAACAGGCGGAGCACAGCCTCAGACCTGTCTCGTCAGCTCTCTTCAGCCACTGGTATGACAGTTTCAAGGCAGACCGTGTACAGACGCTTAGGGCAGATTGGTCTATATTCTCGTAGACCTGTCAGATGCGTTCCACTTACTGAAACTCACTGTCGCCTGCGGTTAGCCTGGAGTAGAGACCATGCATTGTGGACACCGCAACAGTGGGCTTGTGTGATGTTTCCGACGAGTCCAGGTTTAGCTTGCAGTCTGATTCTCGTCAGACTTTCATATGGAGAGCTCCAGGGACCCGTTACCACCAAGAAAACATCACTGAACGACACTGTTACGGTAGTGCAGGAGTGCTCGTTTGGGGTGGAATTATTCTGGGTTCCAGAACTGACCTGCATGTTCAAATTGGAACCATGACAAGCCAAATCTATCGGGACATCATTCTGGAACAACATGTGTGTTTGTTTCGGGTCGCCATGGGCGCACAATTTGTGTTTATGGATGACAACGCCCGTCCTCACCGTGCAAACATTGTAAGCGAATGCCTTCAATCGGAGGATATCACCCGTATGGATTGGCCAGCATTCTCACCGGACTTGAATCCAGTAGAGCACGTGTGGGACATACTTGGCTGACGAGTTGCAGCCCGTCAACCTCCTCCTACATGTCTACCGGAACTTCGGAGAGCATTGCTTTTTGAGTGGTTTAATAACCCCCAAAATCAGATCTATAATTTGATAGTCGGCATGCCTAGGCGTTGTACGGACTGTATTGCATCGTCTGGGAGACATACAATGTATTAACAATCATACCAACCATGTAATATTGGTTTTTTTGTAAATAGTTTTTTTTTTTGGGGGGGGGGTAATTCGCAGGGAGAAAAATTCGCTATTTTTTTTAATAATATCAAACATATAGCATCTTTTTTTGCTCTTTACCTTTTGTTTAATAAATAAGCTTTACAAATAAGTCAAATTTGTTTGTCTTCTAACTCTTCCTTTACCTGATTTTGCATTATCCTTAATGGACATGAGTGTAAAATTCTTCTAAGTAAAATGCATTTATAAATTCTGAGTCCAATTATGTAGTTTTACAAAATGATAACACAAAATGTATTTCTTTGCTGTATTAATATCCATCTGTTTGAAATTATGATTCGTCTTTGTTGTATTTTAAAGTTTTTGTGTGTATTTAAAGTTTCTTTCTAAGGTTATACACACCTTCAACACATGAAGGGCAGCAGTCTCCATTTCGTGTTTTGAGTACATGACGTGGGGGACAGGTGATCTGTGTCTCGCATGGTTCCACTGCACAGTGCACTTGCCCATCTTGACATGTACATTGTGTACATTTGTCTATTCGCCAACGATATCCATCCTGGAAGTTAAAAATACAATCAGAGGTTAGGAAATACTTTATAAGCAGTTACAGAAGTGAAAAAAAATTATTATTTCTACTTTTATCTGAATGCTGCTAGTAAACCGCATCATGAATATTATAGAATTTCTCACCACTCAAAAATCTTGTCCAAAAAGACGTTTCATTTCCATCCCAGTAACAATGAATAAGTTATTAATCTCTTAGTAACATCTAACAAATATTGCAACCGGACGAAGGAGATGCCTTTTGATCCAAGCAGATGTTAGCTCTTAAAGTTGTCCAGTAGTAAGAAATTAATAGAATAATGACACACATTTTCGTAATAAATGTAAAATTCGTTGTGCAAAAAACAGGAAAATAATATGATTGTTTTCAATGTGTTATAATTTCAATAGTTACTATCATTATTTGACATCATGTGTCTCAACGGATGTACGGTTTATACATATTGCAGAAAAAATTCTACTATAATTTTTTTGCATGTATTAGTTTCACTATATTCATTACATCTGGTCACTATCTGTTGCATCATAATATTCTGCCTGTTCATTTGCAGTAATTCGAAATTTACAAAAACGATATATGATGTAATTTAGAATGACTGGAGTATTCAAAAAATGTTTTGTAGAACTGTTATCTCGCTTACGCTTAGTGAAGTGAAAGTGAACATTTGATTACCATTAAGAAGGAAGAAGCATCACTGGGAATCTCCCAATTATTCTATGTATCATATTCGTTTCAGTTTCTTTACATAAAATGTGTCTGTTATTCATAAAATAATTTTCTGAATAATAATGACGGTACAGATAGCAGCGTATATAGGATAATCTCATAGTTACCACCATAGAATTACCACCATGTGCAGATTCAAGATGCAGTTCTGTATATTAATCAACTGGATAATTTATGAATAAATAATTTACATCTGCGTATCATAATTAGGTATCAGCGTTAATCTACTCTACTTTGTGTTCAAAAGCGCCTGCCGTACACATGGGTTGGGTTTAGCCTATAGGAATAATACTTTCGCTAGCTAATGTCAAGATGTGGGCCACAGTGGGCAATGAAGCAGCCGACCAACTGGCAAGAGATATTGCAAACGGACAACTTGCCCCAGCCATGTTTCTTCCAATTCCATTAACACATCTTAAATAAAGACTGGCATGGGACCTTTTGTACTTGTGGAAAACTAACTGGACACAAGAGCTAACAGGCATGCGGCATGCGACGGAGGACGTGGGCACCACCCCTTTACCAATACGGTTAATCAGTATAGCGCCACGTCCACCTTTATCTAGATAACCAATACGTAGTCATTATGCTAATACACTAATACATAAATATACATACAAAAAAAATTTGGTACTTGATACAGTGGCGTTAAAGCTAATTAATGTTACACCTAGATAATACATTGCCATGTTACAAGGTGTATGCAAAAGCATGGATACGGCAGCATATATACATAACGTGTGTACTCATATGTTGAGTACACTATGATCCTTTGAAGCATTATCATTAGATACACAAGACATGTATATACTGAAATATTAGGTGCGCAATGTTATGCTAGAATAAGTAATTAGTACAGTGAATTAAAAGTTAGACCCTAGTACTGTGTGGTACAGTGCCTTGCTACTGAATTATTTGTGCTGTTTCCTAAGTACATTAACCTATGTACGAAGATATTAATACACGTGTATTAGGTACACAGTAATGAGTGGGTAGCCAAGCGTTAGGTAAGTGCTACTTTAACATACAATAGGTACTTAATACAATGCTGAACAGATAATTGGTGCAATTAATTTTAGAGTGGAACCCTAGTTTGATTTTTGCGATACGGTGCTGTGTTACAGGATAAAATGTGCAGATACATAGTTACATTATCATATATACAGAACATGAATTCATATACATATATACAAACATTTTGAGTACAGACACATTAGGTACATGATTATTTAGTGCGTAATGGATGTATATTAACTATACAGTGCTAAGATATGTGATAATACTAGTAGATACATGGATACAATTGCATATAAACAAGGACATACAGACACAATTACATATAGACAAAAGCGTATATACGCTTATATTTGATACATAATATTCATTGGTGACATAAACATTTGGTACTTACTTCATATACTTACATAAATTCTAGATCCATAAAATAATGTTATAACTAGTAATGGGTGCTTATCAATTTCATAATAGGACACTAGGTTGATATTTTGCCTTACTGTGTCACGTTCTCCCGCCTTCCAAGCGTGCCTTCGTGGTGTAGTGGACAGCACACTGAGCCGGTATACAGAGATCCGTAGTTCGATTCCCGGCGAAGGCAGTTGCTAATTTTTCATCTCTCCGGCTTCCAAAAAATCCTAATGTCTCTACAGTGGCGCCCGAACTAAAAGGGTTGTGGATGATGACTCTCCATACCCATGATTTGGCGACTGGGTCACTTAAAAACCCCAGTCGCTCTTTAAAAGAGGGAGTATATAAGGTATTTTTCCCACTTTCCTAGCGTGCCTTCGTGGTCAGCACAGTGAGTCAGTATCCAGAGGTCCGTGGTTCGATTCCCGGCGAAGGCAGTTGCTAATTTTTCATCTCTTCGCCTTCCAAAAAATCCTAATGTCTCTAAAACGTTACTTAGAAATATATGCGGGTGCATGGGACCAGCTTCCTATTTACAATGCTATACTGTACTACCTATTTACGATACTTATATCATTCCATTTCATAATCAATAGGTACACGGACATTATATACATGAGCAGATGGTACATTGTAGACTGCTGTTGAGGGTAATTGATGCAATTAATTTTATAGTATTTTAAAAATAACGAATTTGTACGCAATTATAAGGTGCATAATTGTCATTGGGTACATATACATTAGGCGCATAATACATATTACATATTCATATATTAGTTTCTTAATACAGTGCTAGGGCAAGTAATTGGTGCTGTTAGTTTTACATGTTACATGATGCTGTATGCGATTGGATGGATAAACTAATACATATACTAATATACATGTACAATTATTAGGCACATAATAATCACTAGATTCTCAGACATTAGGTACATTGTATATATATATAAACAGATGGTTCATAATACAGTGCTATAGAAAGTAATAAATGCAGTTAATTTTATAGTAAGATTCTAGTTTAACACTATGCGAAACGGCTTCATGTTACACAATGATAAGTACTGATGCATGAATACAGTAATATTTCTACTTGTAAATATAATATATTATATACAATATATATATATATATATATATTAAACAAATTTAAATTTAAATTTTAACAAACACATGTAAAAGTAAAAAAGCATTGGTTCTAAATTACTTTTTATAAAAATTATTTTTTAAAAAATTTAATTAAAAAAGTTTAATTTAATACTTGACTTACTTGCTTGTTTATCAAAAGAATTCTTTAATTTTTTTTCTTTTTAGAACTTTAATTCTTAAATGTTAATTTATAAGGGTTACCCACTTTATTGGTATTTCTTTTGGACATTCTTCACTTTTTACTTTTGGTTTTGACTTTTACCCTGCCTACATGAATGGACGAAACACAAATTGAATGATTGGAGAGTTAGGTTTTAAGGCAACTTCCCTTGATAAGTCTGTCTCCTGCCTGCTCAACAAGTCATTTCACTTATGCATTTTTAAAAAAATTGTTTGAATTATTTTAATTTGCTAAAATTATTGAATTTATTTTCATGGATTGTTTTTGCACTTGATTTGCTTATACTTCTGAATTAAATGATATTGTAGATTAGTTCGAGAATTAAATCTTTTTTTATGTTTGACCTTTTTTAAAGATTTTAATATTTTTAAAAATTATTTTGGCTTTAAATGGCTTTAAATTTGCTTTTTACTTTATACGTGTTTGTCAAATTTAAATTTAAAATTGTGTTTAAATTTCATTCCTTGCACTGGCGCAAAGAATTTTTAATTAAATTGTATTTATTTTAATTAAATTATATATATAATCTATATATTATAATATTATATAAATTAATTGTAATCGAAAGCATATATATTAATTTAATTGTAAGTTAATTGTAAGTGAACTGTAAACAAGTGAATAACAAGTGACTACTATGAATGTGACAAGCAAATATTACACAGGAACTCTGCAAACATGTGAACAGCACATATGTACTACATTAATGTACTCAGTTGATATTGTTCAGTATAAATGCAACTGAATAACTTCTTATATCCGAGTTACCACTGACTTCCAGAGTAAATGTTCTCGGTAAACTCAGAATCACAATGCATAAAACATTGCTAAAATCCTCATTCAGCAAAGTCTTGAAAGGGTCTCATTAATCAAGTCACAAATACCCATAAGTAAATTTTTAAATTCCTCTACAAATTTTAATATTTCACAGAGATTTTTTGCTGGGCCTAGCGACAACAGAATGCTCCACCAATTTAGTACAAACGCTGACTGTGCTTAGAACAGGCGGTACAGAAACTCAACTGATGGAGAGTAAGTAAGATGAAAGAATCGCTGGCGTCAATTATCTCTCCAGTGAAAAAAATATTGAATCATTGTTTCTACTACAGACTAAGAATTAATACTTCTACTAACAAATCATTATTAAATCAGTATTTCTATTACTAGTCAATTACTACTACTATTAAATCAAAATTATGAATCATTAAAAACAATTTTAGAAAAACATTCTGTTTTTCGATTCCATTTTGTATAAGGTAATTAAAAGTAACGTTAAACTTAATTTATGCCTAATTATATATTCATGGCACATAAGAAATTAAACAATTCGTTAATGTTTTAAAAAAGTATACGGTTTTGAAGGAAGTTTTCATCACATACAAGAGACTAATAAGTAAGTAATTAAGATACAACAACACGCCAAACAAATATTAATTTAGAAGTCAAACAACAAAAATCAGCGTTATATTTTCAAATTTTAACAGGACTAGTTTCGATGGTTTTACCGAACCACCATCCTCAACTGCAAAAGCAAAAAAAAAAATCTTTTTTGCGCTTTTGAAAAAACAATTTTCGATTGGAAAAAAAATTTTTTTTTGCGCTTTTGAAAAACAATTTTCGATTGGAAAAAAAATTTTTTTGCGCTTTTGAAGCTGAGGATGGTGGTTCGGTAAAACCATCGAAACTAGTCTTGTGAAAATTTGAAAATATAACGCTGATTTTTGTTGTTTGACTTCTAAATTAATAAGTAAGTGTTATAGTTAGTATTATTACAAATTGACCACAAAAATCCATAGAAATCTGGATAGTTAAACTTACATCGCGCAACTTGCCATTGACCATACAAACAGCTCTTTTCTCTTCGGGATCTCTGCAACGAGCACAGCATTCTTCATCATATTTAACTTGATGTTCCGGCCAGCAATCTAAAGGAGGGCAAGACTTCCTAGTGCAAGATATCGTCGTATCCTAGGTTTTTCAGAAGTTAAAAAAGGAAAATTAATTGCATTTATTTCTACTTTCTGTTAACAATTGATTAAAATGCTAAATAACACAAATCTACAGAATATAAAGTAACACAAACATAATAATGAAAGCGGAAATATTATGATAAATACAAAGCCTATAACAAACAGAAAATAGTATATATGCGAAGCGGTTTCACTTTCTGTAACAAGGAAGACAGTGATCATTGTGAAACCTTGTGAGTAATAGGAGTGATGAGGTTATATTAAAGACTTACATCGCGCAGATTCGGCAAATTCGTTGACTTCAACAGAGCCGTCAACTGAAATTAGTCGCACATGCAAACAGTGCCTCTTAGACTAAAAGCATAAAAACCTTAACCGGAAGATAAGAACAACATAATTCAACCATTTTTAATGCAAAAAAACGCGCAGTTTACCAACATATAGGAATAAATAAAACTGAGCTGAGTATATATATATACTTTTGGTGCGGTCGATTGCAACCAAAATAGGAGGTGCAAAACTGCATATTATAGCAGTCCTATATACAATATTTCAATGTTCTGTGGCTATTTGTTTTCGAGTTATGCGAGATACGTACATACGTGCGTACGTACAGACGCCAAGAAAAAAATCTTTTCTGCATCCATTTTAAATCAGTTTTTTAATTCGCTAGAGGAAAAAAAGAGTTCTTTATTCTGTCCCTACGTACAGATGTCACGCAAAAACATCGTTAAATTGCATTCGATAGTGGTGGAAATTTGATATTTTCATTGAAATATGATACTCGGAATTTTTCGTGATTACAATACTTCCTCTACTTCGTGCAAGGAAGTAAAAAGCATATTTTAGAAAGCAAAATGCTAAAGTGATTGGAAATAAGCATAGTATTTAGTAAATGCTGGCTCGATCAATTCAACATATTTTCAATATATAATTTGATCATACAAAATCACGAAATTTATTTCCTTTCAATCTCTTGCATTAATTTTCTAATTTTCTATATCATTTATCAGTGTTTCATAATGTGCTAAAAGAGAAAAATGCATATTCAGTGAAACGAATAGGTGAGCAATACTGTGTACAAATAATAAATCAATTTTTTTTCCATACCAAGCACGTGCGAAGCATAAAATCTTATTTTGCGAAGCAACGAATTTCAGATTTTAACTTTATGACTTGAAGTGTCGGCAATGTTTAAGCGCAGATGAACTTTTGGATGACTCGAGTCACTTTTAATAAAGATAATTTAATATGCCTAAAAGGATTTAAGTTTTCTAAGTAAGACTGACAACTGTTATTGACGTTAGATGCACAGAGCCAATACAAATTTCAACTAATTAAATCATCTGTATATCTGTAGCCCTCATTCCTAAGTTTAATAACGTTAAAATGAATTTTTCCAGTTACGTAGGAAATACAAATTGCTGTGCCCTGTGTGTGTTCGCAAGTTTTGTAACTGAGAATTACATCACTTTAATTTTATGTTTGAAAGAACTCACTTATTACTAACTGGTAAGTTCTTCCATTGTGCATTACTGTAGATTTACAATGAAAATCAGTAAACTGATTTCAGTTTTGCGTCCTGTAAGTTACCATGCCGTTTCCTTCAAATATTTATAGAATTATAGGACGAATAAGTTTTTTTGATGACTAAATCTGAGTGAAATGGAAGGCAGTTGGAAATTCTTGATCAATGATTACATTATCGAAGATATAAAGAAAAAAAAATTAAAAATAATCATTATTCTGAAAATCCTGATATACGTCCAGTATTATTTTTACTGTTTCCTTAAAGTTAAGTAAATCCGAATATCTGTCTAGAAACTTTAACTTATAATGACACATTTTTGGTGGCCTAATACTATGACTTGTCCCAATACTACTATGATATGGCCTAATACTAATACTTTGGTGTCCTAATACTATGACTATATATCTAATATCTTCTTCGCTTCAATAGTTTAAATAACTTACTTACCTTTATTGTAAGGAAGAAACTTTACTTAAATATTTATCTGAAACAGATTTAGTTTGAAATGTCTTTTAGAAAGATTAAAGAATCAGATTTTATTATTAACAAAAAAAACAAAAAGTTGTTTTAATACTTAATTAACTTTTAAAAATAGTTAATTTTTAACTAATTTTAAAAGTTAGATAAGAAATTTTGAATACTTTTAAACATCTTTCATTTTGTTTCCATTTTATATGCATTTTTTCATTTTAATCATGATACATTTTCCGATAAATAATATGTCATTTTTAAACATTCCTTTGTATTTTGATGCAAAAGTTTAGGTCAGTAACATTTAGTAAAAAATATTACTACACATTATGATGAACAGCAGCAACCGACTGTTCAGCAGCAACCAAAGTTCAATTTTAAAATTTAAGAAATCGTAAAAATACATACATAAGTGTTTGATAAGAAACTTTCTTCGTATTAGCAAGGAAATTTATGTAAAATATTGTTTAAAGCTAAATACACTTTACCCAAATGAATTATGAAAAATTAATAAAGTACACAAAATTAATAATAAAAGAATTCATAAGAACGGGCTTTCACATTCTTTTATACGAAATATCCACCCACGGCCGAATGGATAAGACAACTGCACAGTAAGACTTTTTTTTATTTACAGTGAAAAGACTAGTTGTATAGGGTATTCTTGTTTTTAGTCCAAAAGGGACATTTTCCCAGAAAGACTATTAATTTCGTTTTGGCATTTTGCATCGATTCACAACAAGCGTTGTTTCACTTTTCAAATTGTTGCCACCGGATATTATCACCCTTTATTATATTTAAAGAAGTTAAACAATGAAGAATCTGCATAAATATATGTGTTTCTCGATTGTATAAACAACGGCACCTAGAGCATCCAATTTTGAATATGTAATCTACTGCGAATATGGCATCGGAGCCCAATTGAAATTTGGAATTTGTTTATTATCTTTCATATTGTAAAACTTTAACGAATTTATGATTAACAAACTCAAGGATTTCAAAGCCAGTAATGGCAACGTTGTACAGAAAAACATTTTTATCTCCAGCGCGTGAGACTGTGTGTCGAAAATTTTAAAGAAATGCTCAATTTAAAATTATTTTGCGATATTGCTTTTGAACTGAAACTTTTCAGATTTTTATTTCAATTCTTGGTTTTTATTTGTACGTTCGAATTATTATTACGTAGGTTTCTTTATAAGTTCCTCCAACGAGCTTTCTCTTAAAATTACAGCCCTCGCATGCACTGGCATAATCGTTTAAGCATCTTGTCAGCGTAAATAAACATTATTAGCTATCGAATTATACCTTTGTTATCCATAAAATACCTTAATTAAGCCTTACAAATTTTCGCAATGTATTCTGCCGTACGGTGAATAATTATGTATTGTTTTGTTGTTTATCTTACATTAAGTTTAGTCATAATTAATCAGTAAATTTTTCGGGCTAATTTAAAATTATTTATTAAAAATTTATCAAAATATTGTTAGCAATAATTTCTGTCGAAAATGATGTAGCAGATATCTTTATACTGTGATAATGTAGGCAAAAGTTTCAAAATCCTAAAAATATTTTTAACTTTTTTTTTACAAACGCTATTTATGTCAAGTATCAGAGTAAGGGAGGGATTAGGAAGATCTCAGATGATTTAGTGTGATCTAGTCTTTGTGTTTGTCTTTAATAACTTTGATAAAACTATGGTATCCATTATTAGAAAGTACTAAAATGCCACATAAAAGTCATACGTGACTTTAAAGTTTTAATTCTTCTAGATACTGAAAACAATATATATCCGGCAGTAATCTTGTTTTTTAATCTTATAGATGCCCTAGTTAAAAAATGTTCAGCCTCAAATAAATTCAATTTTTCGATTTACAAAAGCATTTTTAAAAGAATTGGGAACAATAATTTGTGTTTTGATTACGTATCTCCTCATATAAAATGTTGCCTGTGCTAACCAGATTTTATATATTAATTTAATATAAATGCTAAATGGATAGTATATCGCTCTGATATTGCTAAAACAACAAAGAAGAAGTACCTGTAGATGGCGCTAAATTCCAAAACAATGGGAACAAAGAAGAATGATGACATTGAAAAAAATTCGCTTGAAAATGAATAAATAAATGTTCTAAAAGCAATACCGGCGAAGAAGACGAAAGAAGATTGAGTGTCCTGCCGAGCGTGAAAGCTTCATTGACATTCTAAGTGAGGACATTCTAAGAATGATCCTCCAAGAGCTAAGATAAATTATCTAGGTCTTGCAAGTTAAACAAGGCGTGATAAATTAGAAGATCTGGAGAACGACATTTCAGTAACTGATGTGATACGTTTCCTTACACACTTCCTCTATATTTATCATGTTCAGGATTAATTTCTTCATATAAATTAAGGATTAATTTCTTCATATTATAGTATTAATTTATTCATATAAATTAAGGGAAGGAATTGGGAAGATCTCAGATGATTTAGTGGGATCTAGTCTTTGTAATTTTTGTCTTTAATAACTTTGATAAAATTATGGTATCCATTATTAGAAAGCACTAAAATGACACATAAAAGTCATACATGATTTACGTTATGGTATTATTTTTAAAGGTTTTAAATACGTTTTTCAGAGGAAATTTCGACAAGAACTTCTTAACAAAAATATGTTGAAAGAAGAGTCAGAAGTCAATACTGTAATAGATCATTAGATAAAACTGCAACCCAAGACTCACTTGTATCTTACATTTATTTATTTGCATTTACTCTAATTGCATTTAAAACAGGGTTCAAAATATTTGAAAATAACGGCATTTGATTCAATGAGAAGATGAAGTAAAAATTACAAAATCCGGAGTTGAAACAAGCTTTTATATAGAATAACAGAGACTTCATTCGGTTGTCAACTGTAATCATTCTGAAACTTCAGCATCGCTGGTAATAAATAGATCGTACACACAACTTATTATCAGCTATGTGCTGACTACTTTTAAGATCAATAACTGATGTGGAGA